TTGCCGAAACAAACCATTATCAAATCACGACAAAACTTTTTTTTCTTTTACCGAACTTGAACAAAAAACTATAAAAATGATTTCAGTTTTGATAAATATATACATTTTTATTTCCCAAAACCAGACGGACCCTTGAAAAGAACCCCAGACCAGGGGTCTCAATCGCAAAAGGACCTTCGACGTTTGATACAATCAATTCAAATATTTTAAGAATGGTGGTATTTGTCCACTACTACACATACTGTATATTTTCTTCCCATTCCTAAAAATGTTTCTTTATTAGTAATATCATCATCAACATTATTGACATTTTCCGCGGGCCGTTTGTGCTGAGGGTTTGCGGTGCAGAAGTGGCCCCCGAGCCAGGGGTTTGACACCTCTTGTCTTAGATGATCAAAATTACATTTGTTTGTGAAACACTCCCCCCCCAAAAAAAATTCTACAAAGAAGTAATTTCTCCATTTGAAGGTATTTACAGAATAGTCATAATTTAAAATATAATTTAAATATATATACATATATATATTTATATATATATATATATGCATATATATATATATAATATATATATATATAAATATATATATATATTATATATATATATACATACATATATATATATAAATATATATATATATTATATATATATATACATACATGTATATATATATATATAATATATATATATATACATACATATATATATATAAATATATATATATTTATATATATATATACATACATGTATATATATATATATTATATATATATATACATACATGTATATATATATATAATATATATATATATTATATATATATATATATTATATATATATATACATATATATATTGTAAATATATATATATTTATATATATATATATGCATATATATATATATAAATATATATATGTATATATGTATGTATATATATATATATGCATATATATATATATACATATATATATTGTAAATATATATATATATACATACATGTATATATATATATATATGCATATATATATATATATATTTTCTACATGCAAAATGAAGTCTTTGTCTTTCTTCCTGAGACAAGGCTCTTAACTTTTCTGTTTTTTTTTTTTTATAAATATATTCTACATGCAAAATGAAGTCTTTGTCTTTCTTCCTATAATCAGGCTCTTAACTTTTCTGTTGACTTTTTTTTTTTTTTTTACCCCATTCTTTCCTATCTTCCTGTGTTTGGATTCCTTCTTTATCAGAGGACACGGCAGCAGTAGCCCGCAGACGGACGCGGTTTTTACACCGAATGCTCTTCGTCGAGGGAGTAAGTGGAATCCAACCCCTGCACCCCCGCCACCCTGAACATGCTTTCTTTTATTATTATTATGAGTATAATGTAATTTGATTTTTATTTCATATCCTTTATTTTGCTCCGAGTTCTGGGACTGAAACTGAGCCACTGACGGCAGACAGAGGTCTGAATCCAGCACAGAATGTTAATGAACTAAACGTGCTTTGTTCATCTGCTACATGTGGACGTAGCATCCTGTGTTAGCAGCCCGCAGAGGGAACACATGACCGCGGTTGTCACGCGGTACAGCTAATACAGCAGCGGTGTTCCAGATAAGAGACAGGAATCCTCCGGATGTCACTGAGGTCGCGGCTCACTGTACAGATCAATGTCTGCCCCAGATTTAGGTTTGTTTTGTTTTGACGTTCTGCGGTTCAGGACGCGTCGGAGTACATGCTAAAGTACGAGTGGCGCAGGAAGCAGCTAAGCCAATCCACGTCATCTTCAACTCCTCGTTGTTTTCTGATCGTCAGAGACGATGGTGTCGACTGAGCCGACCTTCCCCTCTGTGTTCTTCTGCTTTCACTCCAACCCTCCGACTCCGGGCTTGAAAGCTTTTAACAAAGCCCCTCCAGTCGATGTGCGGGGCCGCAGTCATGAGCTCGTATTTATTTCCAGCAGAAACAGAAAAAAGCCATGTCGTAGAAAAGTTTAAAGCAAAACAAATGCTTTAAAAAAAAAAATTATAAATCTGTTAGGGCAATAACTTTAACATGTGACACAGTGATGCATTTCACTGATGTCATCGTTTCAACGGTCGTCCAGTTTGAGTAACTGAAGCGTGTTTCGTCATTATGACTTTGACAAGACGTAAGCGGCGTTACATTTCCTCTAAAATAAACACCAAATATTTGAACAAATATCACATTTTTAACCAAGCTTGAATGGTGACCTTAAAATGAAGCTGTTAAAGCGAGAGACGAGATAAAAACTCAGGGTGGGGACCATGTAGAACACAGGTGTTAAACATACGGCTCGTGGGCCAAAACTGGTCCGCTAGGGTGTTCCATCCGGCCCGCTTTCACATAAGAAAAATACATGTTCAGGGTGTTTTTTTTAAAATGATATTTCATTAAATATGAAGAAATAATAATAAAAATCTAGTATACTTGTACTTCTTAGCATGATACAAAGGGGAAAAACAGGGACTTTATAATTAATTATGTTGTGATTGTACTGGTCCGGCCCCCTTGACAAATGATACTTGTAAAAGGGTTAGGATTTCAACGTGTAAAAATAAAAAGTTATTTTCGTTAATAAAGGTTTTCTTGGATTTGTTGTGGAATGTTTTCGACCTCGACTTCTATATAAGGAGACAATTCTCTGCTGTGTCCTCTGGGATCTGAAGCGCTAATAACTGGGACCATAAACTTCTGACAATGTCACTGCATGTCCTATGTTGACACGGAACACTTGAATATGAAATGTGTGCGTGCAAAGCAATATTGAACTTCTTTTTTTTAATACTGCCACAGTGGGAAAGAAAAATTCACTGATTTGTAAGTTCATGCTCTTATTTTTTGGTGAGATTAAAAAAATCTTTTAGGAATGAATGTGCTTTAAATGAAGGTGAGTCGAGTTTTGAAGCAAAATCTGGAGCTGCAGAAAAACTTCTATATATACTATAAATATATAGCTATATCTATAAATATATATATATATACGAAAATATATATAAATATACTGTGAACATATATATGTATATGTACATGTATGTGTACATGTATTTATATATTTTTATTTTCGATATAAACATGCAGACCCAAAAAACATATGTATATATGTACAGTACATATATATGTATAATAGTGTATATATAATGACTACACCAAAGCAGAGTTTAGCACTAGTTCGTCGAAGGCGCTACATAAATGCATGCTATTATTACCGCGCTCATCGTGTTCAACAATCAGAGAGTGTTACTACAGTTGTGAAACACAAGCAGCCGTCATTGTGTTGAACTCTGGGTTCTTCAGAATAATAAAGGAACGATGTCTTCAGGGCCTTTAGTTCAAATGACAGTTCAGATAAATGTGTCCCAGCTTCCGTTTAAAAGAAGTACACGGACTACACCTTCTTTCCTCTCGGGGGGAATACTTCTAATTCCAGTATATTGTCTTACGGCGCTCGGCCTAGCTACCTGTTTAGAAAGGAATAATAATGAAGGAAAAAAAATATAACTTGAATACATTTTCTTACTTTGACTGCAATTTCCAGCAATGTTGCTACAAAAGCTAAACCCAAACGAGAATGCATCATGGGAGATTTTTGTTTGGCGTTGAGCTGTGGCTCATGAAAGGTTGGGAAACACTGGTCTATGCTATATATACTAGATGATTCTTAGTCAGCATAATTGAACGTTAGCATCTGTGCAGGTTTTTAATTTAGAACAAACAACGAACGCTGCAAAAAGACGATCGGTACCAAACTGCTAACCTTGAGGTCAGAGCACTGACCACTCTCCCACCGTGTTGACCCTAAACTGAATAATGCAAATTTACCCAGAAACCTCAAGTAATGGAAACAGTGAGTGGTGGCAGCCTGTTCACATCGGGAAGTGCAGGGGGAAAAGGACAACGCTCATTACTCAACATGGATCGTGGCTGCGCTGGATTACCATCTGTTATGACTGCTGTTAATGAAGAAATTGCAGAGCTGACACACTCCTTTAAAAGTTACAGAGCGCAACGCCATGTTAAAGAATTTTGTTTTGGAAAGAATGTTGTCTTCAGTCCCTGCTGTACCTGTGTGGAAACATTTCAACCTGACTTCTCTTCCTGTGCTTTTTCCTTTTTTTTTTTTATCCTGCAAGAATGAGAACACTGCACCAGTATAAACAGAAAGCACCAAAAACGTAAACCTGAGTTAATCTTTTTAAGGTGAACCTTCATTCTGCAGCAGACCCACTGAAAGAACTTGACACAAATTAGATTTTGCATAACTTTCCATTACAGCATCATGAAGAAGTGCAGCGTTCATGTGACAGTCCACCTCAGCCTACAGCTAAACGGGCGAAATGAGTGAAGCAACTTAAAAAAAAAAAAAAAAGAGAATTACACGCGGTGTCCTCTTCTATAGCATACACAGTGTTATACGATCTGTAAGCACAGCTGAGCCCAGTTCCTCTGTGGCCTTGGCCTTTTTCCATCAACAAGTGGACAGTGGTTCAGCTGAGAGGCAGAGGCATCACTCAAGGCTGGAGGTTCACAGGCTCGCCACATGAAACACCACACATTTATCCACTGCACATTCACTTTTCATTCAAACTTTTAATTTCAGCGCCGTGACTCTCAAAGCTTAAAGGTGTACCGTATTTTCCGGACTGTAAGTCGCTCCGGAGCATAAGTCGCACCAGACAAAGGATGGAAAAAAAAAAAGTGCAGAGTGCCCTCTAGCGGCTGTCAGTGTGAAAAAAAACAAACATGTGAAATTATATATTTTAATATGTAAGTAGCACCTGAGTATATAAGTCGCAAACCCAGGCAAAGGATGAAAAAAAAACTGCGACTTGCAGGCGGAGGAGTAACAGATACTGGTGCACGAGCCAAGAGTGCCCTCTAGCGGCTGTCTGTGTAAAAATAACAAACGTGAAATTAGATATTTTAATGTATAAGTCGGACCTGAGTATAAGTCACATACCTAGCCAAAGGACGAAAAAGAAGTGCGACTTACAGGTGTAGCAGATACTGGAACACGAGCCTAGAGTGCCCTCTAGTGGGTGTCAGCGTGAAAATAACAAACGTGAATTTATATATTTTAATATATAAGTTGCACCTGTGTATAAGTCACAAACCCAGCCAAAGGTAAAACAAAATGTGGGCCATATAGTCCAGAAAATACGGTAGTTTGCAAAAATGACTTTAATAATAAACTACAGTTTAGGCGCTGCAAGAAGCAGATGGGTAGCGTTCCTGTGTTGGTGGTTAGCAAACTTCAAACTAGTTTCTGTTTACTTCTAACAAGAACACGGACATGAACAGAACTCACCAATCCTGCCCTCAATCTATCTGCTCGCTCTGCACCAAAGAATCCTTCTGTCGCCATTCAAACTCCTAAAGGCTCTCGCTGCTCCGACCTCTCTGACCCTCAGCTGCTTTTGCTGCTTCCTCTAACCAGGCTGAAGCCTCTGAGGAGAGTGGGACAAACTGCCGTCAAACCTCAAACAGAAAGACACTTCCTCTTTTCTGATACGTATTTATTATTGTTTTGCACTTGTTGTTCCTCAGTGCGCTTACTGTCAAATAAATTGGATTTGTTGGACGGTCGGTGCAGTGGCCTGAGAGTAAGAACGTCACTGGTTCCCTTATATCAGGGGCGTCAAAGTCATTTCCACCAGGGGGCCACATCACCAATACGGTTCCCTTTGAAGGGCCGGTTGTAAATGGAAGACTGTATAGATCAGGGGTT